TATAGCATCACTTACTTGTGTAGATCTGCTCCGTTCACGGTACAGTTAACGTTACTTAACGGTTTTGATAATCTATCCGAAATCTATCGAGGTTGAAAGTGTTTGAATTCAACTCCTATACCGGCTTCTTCAACTGCAACGCGACTCCCATTGTTGTGACGTTAAGTGCAGAACATTAATGTCAAAACATCAACTCAAGGCTTTCTTTATCTTTTAAGCTGCTATTTTTCATTGGATTGTAGCCTTGTAACCTGACGAAAAGGTAAATCCTTAGCTTTTGAAGAGTTTTTTTGTGTGCCCTTAAACGAGAATGTTTTTTTCGGTACTTCATCCAAGTCTGTCTAACTAACCAAAAAACTGCTGCATAATTTCGAGCTAAAAATTGAATCTACGGCTTAGCTTTTATTTTAACTATGTTCTATGCATAGGTGCATCCAAAAGAGAGTAAGAAAGGCAAGAAGAACAAGAAGAACGAGAGTCAAGCGGCGGATGTTGCCAACGGACATGTTGTGAATGCTGCAGCTGATGACTCTGGCCACGTTGTCGATTCTGCTCCAATTACTGATGCAGCAAATGGCGGTGTAATGGTCAGTACAAGTAAATGCCAATTTGCAGTATGATTATGAGTTTGACTGTTTGCTACACATAGGTGTTACGCTAAGCATCTGCATTTTTGTAGCATTTTGATGGTGAGAAAAAAAAGAGTAAAGAAAAGAAGCAAGAAACGGCTGCTCTACTCGATTCATCTGAAATCAATCAAACCACAGACGTTGTTCTTGACAAGGTAAACAATTTTACATTTTCTTATTACGTAGGAGACCACTTTTCATTACAAAAGTGATCTTGATGTTGTCAATTCCGCGGCTTCTCAATTGTACTCATAAATCTGGAACGAAAAGTATTCTGTAATGCTTGCAAATAAACTCAACTTTTTCCACTTTAAAATGAAAATAGTATAGAATCAGCTCTGCTACTATTTCCGCCCATGCCTGTGACCAATTCTATTCATCCTGACAAACGTTTATCCGAATAATGGATTCAAACTGACTTTTATTGTAGGAAACGTCTAATGAAGTTGCTCAAAGCGAAACTAATGGGCATGAAGAGAAAAAAGAAAACCGTAATGTGGTAGGTCAATCTTTTTAAATCAGGGAACTCATCCAGTTTTTGAAACTGTTACTCATCACATTCTTCACTTAATTGGGAAAACACCACTTTTAAAGAGCTTCATCAACAGCCATTTGAAGATCTTTTAGACTAATATGAATGAAATTATATTCAGCTTGCACATTCTTCCCCTGCTCGCTTTAACAGTAAAAAATTTGCTGTGCCTAGCTGCACTCTTTCCGACAGAGCACTTTTCTAGGTAAACTACGAAGTTATTTTTTAAAGTTAGAACTTTTTTTGTGAATTTGCCTAGCGCTTTTCTAGTCAAATTCTATTATTATAAAACTATGTGCTCGTTGTTGCTAGCTTGTCTCTTTGTCAGCGAAGAAAAGAAAACTTTCGGTGAGACAGCAAGTCTAAGCAGGATAAAGTGAGGTCGCCGCCATTCATTTTTACCTTCCTCCCCATTTCAACGTATTTTATGGTTTCTCACAATGGTTTTAATAGGAATCTTGATTAAACATATTAATTCCTCTTTTGTTTCCAGGATGAATCTTCGACTAAGAAGAACAAGCAAAAAGAGAAGAAAGCGAAACAATTATCACCAGGTATTGAGGTAATCACGGAAGTAACTGTTGTTACTGTAAGTTACTTCACTCTAATGCTGCGTTGTAATGTTCACTTAACAAACTACAGTATAATCTTGAAGGAAACAACCAAGTCAGATAAGGAAACTCCAGTTGACCAATCATCTCCTCCAATTCAAGTACATGAAGTGACTAGTACTGCCAATGAGAATGGAATGAAGGGTACGTTTAAAAAAGCAACCACTTGACCTTGCTGTTATCTGAGGGTTTTTCAGAAACAGTCCATACCATCACCGCCACTATCAATACCACATCTTCAACGAGCCCAACCCAATTTGCCCAGAATGTTGAAAAACTGGTCTCGCACACTCTAAAGAAAGCCAAGCACGACATCGTTGATATTGATCCCAGCGTAGTAAGTTATTCCATGTTCCTTTGCTAATTCAGCTGTTCTTGCAACCTCTCTTTGCAGATTAGGCTGCATGAGTAGTGCTGAGTTAGCGGTGCAACATCTAGTGCCCTATTTAGCAGCAGCATAGTTTTCCAATTTCGTACATTTCCATCTCTAATCAGGGGCTACCTAGATACATGCACCTTTATTGTGTTTCTGTCCACGATAAAGTAACAAGGATCTGAATTAGTCTACAAATAATTATACGCATGTAGCAGTCCTGTGTTTTAGTTTGATTAGTGTTCTGTAGAGATTTAGTCGTAGCGTTTTTGTGTGCAGAAGATGACGATCGATGCTCAACTTGTGAAACTGTCGGAGAGGAAGCCGGAAGTAGCGACGGAACATAAGATTCACATCACCCCTCTTCCTCTTGAACTTCACTACTCAAGGCCTACGGTTTGTGCATAGCTTTGCTATTTTAGTTTTTTCTTCTTATCTAGACAGCACCATTCTATGCGGAAATTCTCCTTATCGATCTTCTTTCACTTTAGCTGTAGTGGAGTCTTGTGAGCGTAGTGTGAGTAGTTTTGGGGTTGGCGCAAAAATGATTAAGCCGTACTACCGACTTACTAAAGGTACCGTACCTTTGATGGAATTGTCATTTGTACCTTTGAGGTAAAAAATGTCCAACGAATAGCGAACATGAACAAACAAAGAACTCATTTCTATATTCATCTTTGCCAAAATCCTATTGATTTGCAGAGGTTTCGAACAGCTAAGATCAGCTGAAATCAAAAGGGCGTTCATCAACAAATCTAAACAGATAGAAATGTGTATGTTCTTTTTTCCATTGCATTTCGAGTATAGATGAACAAAACCAATATTTCTAGGCAAATCACTTTTTAAGATTGCCGTGTCAGCCAGCTTGTTTGATATTTAGGAAAATCATGCCTGTATCTTGTACACTCATCATTTCTGAAATAAAATGCAACGCCATTCTTTTTTATCGATGGTCATTTCCACCTCTAAAATTTTTGTTTTCAAAGTACCAGGAGAAAATGTTATTCTTTCAATTATGCGACCACAATATCCAATTTCGGCAATTTTAGAGAGTCTCATCTATGGTTTTGCAGTTTAAGAGTCTTTTCTTTTAGTAATTATTGAATTTAATGACATAGAGTCATCGTTCAGTCCCAGAACTTTTCACGCAATTGTTAGAGAATAGGTGAAGGGTACATTGTTTTTAGCGGGATTCCCTTTCCATGTATTCAGGTTTTTACGCAATTATCTCGTGAAAATATTAATGTGATCTGCGTTTTCTTCTGTACAGACGCCATCAAGTCGCGAACGAGTATATAAGCTTCTTCCACGCGATATACTCTTCTGCTCCAGTCTTATAGACGCCCATGGCGAGGATTATGCTGTAAGTTCATAGCTTTAGAAATTTTCAATAGCATGAAAACACTATAAATACTTGAATGTCTAGGCAATGGCCGCTGATCCAAAGAATATTTACAAGGAAAATGCACGAGCAATCCAGAGAAAAGTTAGGATTTTCAAGGTAACATTGATCTTTGACTGTTATCGTTTGAGTATACTAAGGTGAACTTGTCAAAAAATGTGCCCAAAATGTACAAGAACTATTCATTTGTGTTAAAGGTTGTTTCCCTAATTTTGTAAAAATTAGTAGATGCGCACATAAAAGGGAAAAACAGAGTAGAAAGGAGCGTGCCTTGTCCGCGATTAAACCATGCCTTTCCTCTTTTCTACCCTGCGCCCCATCGAAAATGCTCCGGACCACTCTGCAATATGCAACGTATATGTAACATGAAAAAAATACATACTTTTATGACGATTCTAAGAGCCTCGATTTTTTATTTGGTATTATCTAAAATCTAGTGTTTCGCGGCTATTTTCAAAAGCTGAAGTATTAGAGTTGTTAGGAGAGATGGGTGGGTAATTTAGACGCTGTAACTGAAAATGTTGCTTTTTAGGAATCTCCTCACTACCAGACGTACCTCCGCGCCAAAGAAGAAGGCAGAACAGTCGAAGAAATCTTGGCAGAAGAGGGACAAACGTAATTCCACAGAAACTCCCATACGAATACCACCGGCTCCTGTTGTATGATCTTCACTCTACGTACCTGTCCTTGGTTGCAATGTCAACCACACACACCATTCTTCTTTCTTTTCTATACCGGCCGATCTACTATTCCTCTTTAATCATTTGCAGAACGCACATACACAATGCAAACAGCCTGCGAGCATTTTCATTAGATAGTATACGCTGATCGTTATATTTGTGTTGAAAATCTGTTTTTGCAGTGTTTTTGTTTCGTTTCCCACCAACAGATATGTTCGCTGTGCTAGATTTTCTCATCGTTCATTGTTTTTCCCATCCACACTGTTTTTACGAGTGAATTTGCTCCGAGATTAGCTTCTAACCGGTCTTATAGCTAGGTCTGTATATCTTTCCGAGTAATTCTCAAATTTGGAACTTCATACGTTGATCACATCAACAATTTTGCCGCAGCGGCAAGTCGCCTTAGGCTATTGAACCGTTTTTTGTCCAGTTTTACCTGCTGTCTCGCAGAAGATGCTTACATAAGCTGCAGCTCGTTCTTCTTTTTTTGGGATACACCACCCTGGAGTGAATTACTAATAAATGAGGAATCAATTTCTTGTTGACAGACGTTTTTTTTACAGTTAGGTATTCTTAAGGTGTCTTTTACGTAGTTGCATTTCTTTTGTCAGATCTATAAGAATTGTTTAGTACTCCTACTCCTGCTTGATCTGTTAAGGTTAATAATAATGTTGGGACTTCAGTTGCCACAAAGCACGATATCGAATTTGAAACACTTTCATTTATAAATACTTTTTCACTGCTCTACGAAAGTCTCTGATAATAGTAGAAGAGTCATAATGACAGCAATGTAATGGGTTGTACAATAACTCTGTAGTTCTGCTCAAACTCAAAAAATGTCATCTTTGGCGCCAACATCAATGCCCCGACCAATCAGACTCAAGGAGGAATGGGCGGAGCTCCCGATATATAGCTTTTCTGTGATCTACCTACCGTAGTTCTAAACGATTATATTGTGGGGAATGATATGACTTTCGTTATTAGCATGTCAAATAACTTCAACAGGTGAAGTTCTAGCGGCAGATTTTGAAATGCCAGAAAAGCAAGTGTGATGTCCCTCTTTCGTCCACCTGACATCCATATTGACTTCCAAACAAACTAATACCCGATTACTTGGGTTTAGTTTGGAAAAAATAACTACATATCCGAAACAATAAAACTTGGTTCATCTATGTCACTAGTTGTGTACACAAAATGCCTCTAGCGTATACCAAATCAATCATAATTGTTAAGGCTGAGAGAAAAAAATGATGTTCAACTAGCTGGTGAAACTCATCTGCTGCTCTTAGCCTCACGAACGAATGCTGAGTTATATTGCATCCACATATATGTGAATTAGAGTGATATGTACTGCCGAGTACATGACCCTTATGTGAAGGAATATTTTCCTCAAAGGCAATTAGACGTATCACTTAGTGAATTTTCAAAAAAAAATTCATATCCGCTGAAGGATACTATTTCACAAAGCACGTACAATTTTAAAATGGCTTTTGCTTCGCTTTAATTGGAGTTATATTACCTTATATACATTATTTATTTGCGGTAACATAGAGGGACATCTTGCTATCAGGAAAATGAAATCAGTGCTTCTATAGGGTGTTTCAGAAAATGCGATCACTTTGTTCTCTAACAGTCTTCTCATTTCTAAGTTTTATAGACCCTTATGATTCGTTCTGAGCTTGTACTTAGAATTCCATCTATGAACAGATCTCGAGCTTTCGTTAAAATGCTATAAAGTCTAGACTTTTATGTTGCTCCACAACTAACGTGGAGCTCTAAGTAACTTTGGTAGGAAGGTGACCTTATCAAGCAGTAATCATAAGTGGTGTTAACGTACCTATAATCCCAATACACATGTTTCCAGCATTTTAGAAATTTTTTAAGCCTAGTGTCAATGAAAGCTGCGTGTTGCTTTAGTGCTATGGCGTCAGCGCTAAACGGAAATTTGCCGTAATTCTACTTTGATGTAAAGGTTTCTGGTGCTGTTTTTGGCGCGGTCTACCTCTAAGTTAGTCCTTTAAATGAACTATTGGGGCCGAAAAAAGCTAATGAAAGAGTTTTCAGCTATCAAAAATGATCACATTTTCTTGGAAACCTTGTCTATTGTTTATGCATGTTGTTCTGCGAGGAATTAATAAAAGTGCTTTGCACGTGTACACAAAGACCAAGCAAAACTACAGCGAAATTTATCATTTAGGAACAAAAAATATAGAAATGATACAGGCATGACTATTTGTAGCGTTTCACCACAGCTTGAGTCGTCTTCCCTCGCATGGTGACGGAAATCCCTCAGCAATATAATGAAACTTCAAAATTTCAATTAGGCAAATATTCTGATTGTGCGCCTACAAATAAGGACTTCATTTCTTGAAGCTTCATTGATTTGGAAAGCAGACATCCCTTCACACCTGAGAAAACAAATATCAGATAATGTGAAGTACACGTAGGGTTTGCTTTCCGCGAATTTTCGTTTTTCATGTAACCGCTGTGCGATGCAGCCGTCTTTGCTAAACATTTCGAAGAGTAAAGATGGTTGCTAAAAACTTCCTCTTGACGAGTTGTTCCCGGAACATTTAGTACTAGATGATATTCACTTTAGTGATTTACTGGATTTAGATAAAGTGGTTTGCTTAAGCTTTCACCCGATATAGTAAGCCGGCAAAGCAATTCCACTGGATGACAAACAATGATGCGGTGGTTAAT